CGACAGGGTTCAGTCCCTACCGGTTGCACTGGGGACCAGAGCCACGCCAGCCTCTCGATAATATTATCGACAAGGCTAAGCCTGATCTGACACCAGGCACCACAGAGTTCACCAGACGATATCGTTTGGATGTGGAAAGAGCGCGGGGGAACTTGTTCAAAGCCCAAAAGGCTATGATTGAACAAGCTAACCGCCATAGGCGGCCTTCCCCCATCCGCATTGGTGACTATGTCTGGGTGGCCAGTTCTGAGTTGTCGAGGGAGGAGGAAATCTCCCCCAAGTTGTTGTCACGCTACCTGGGTCCATGGCAGGTCCTAGATACAGTGGGCGCTGATCCCTTCGGTCCGTTGTATGTCATCGACGTCCCGCTGCATCTACGCACCTATCCGGTCTTTCATGCATCCAAATTGTTACCTTTCACTTCAGCTGATGCATTCCCAGACCGGCCCCCTCAATTCGATCCACCGATCCCTGGCAAGGGATATGACGTGAATGGATTGAGGATGAGTGGGGCACAACCCCGATCGACAGTATCTTGTGAGGTTCGCATTCCAGCCTCCTTCTGAGAACAGATGGTTCTACAGAAGGGAACTTACCCTAACTGCGTAGAGCAGGCCCAGGCTACCCCTAGGACAGACAGGCTCTAAGTGGCCTATGCTGATAGACGGTCCTATAGCCTATAGCCGGGTCCGGTAGAGGCCAAGAGGCCGAAACAGCAACGGTACCGGTCGGTCAGTTAGTCCACTCTAGGTCTAGTGTAGTCTATAGATAGGTTAGGCTCGTCGGTTCAAGACTTTTGGCAGTTCATTTCTCGCCAAGCAGGGTTGGAGAAGCCAAGCAAGTTGGTGGCGGTGACTGTCTGCAGGCGGCATCCTGAGACCTCGCCGTTGACAGCAACCATAGCTGGCCCAGTCTGAGTCTGCCATAGCTGGGGCATCCTCAGCGCATCTACCCTTCGGGTATCTGCGTCCGGCCGGGCTATATCGAGGCTCTACACTGTGTACTCGTGTGTGAAGGCAGCCATAGCTGCCTGTTCCTTCGTCAGAGTTGTTCATCTACACTGAAGGCTTCATCGCAGGACCTGTTCTTCATCAGGGCGGTTGGCGCTAGCCTCGGGGAGGCTGTTCTGATGTGGCGCTACTAACTGGGTGTAGGATAGGGAGTGGGGTGTGAGTTATGAGGGTGGCGAGATACTAGAACAAGCTCTGTTACGATAATCTGGTTGAGTGGTTCATCATTAGTGTGAATTTCAATTGTGGTCTTCGCAGGTTCTTTCTTGTGATTGGTTGTTGGGAGTTGTGTTAGAGAGTGAGAAACACTGTGTGTCTTCTCCCCATCTGTGCATGATTGTCTTCCTCTGCTTCATTTCACCTCTGTGCAGTTTGGACTATGTCTCCTCTCTCCCCTTCTCTTATGCATGTATGGGCATGTGTGAGATTGTCTGTGTGTGAGTGGCGATAAAATTCGCCAGACAACCAAGTTCATAACAATTGGGCAACTGCAGTATCGTACCTCTCAACCCCAGCCTTGTATGTTGTCCATTCCTCACGAATGTTTTGCTGGTCTTGTCTTGGTGACTTTCCTGCTGGTTGTTGTAGGTCTAAGGCCAGTCAGGAGGTGATGCATGTTGTAGGTAGGTGGGTAGCTTTAACGGTTGGAAGGCAAAGTCTGTAAAGTAAGTGCACAGGGTCGGTAGGGTCAGCCTGTGGAAGGCAAAGCGTGTAAAGCAAGTGCACAGGGGATGAGCGGTAGGCTCTTGTTAAACAACCTGTCGCTCCGTACTAATCACCATGCAGTGAACCACATCAGCATGAGCATTGACCGTTCCAAGTGCTGAGGTGAGTGTTGACCCCAGGTCAACCGGTGTCCATCATAACCCGGCAATAATTGTCAAGCATCTACAATCCAGGCAAAGAGTACAACTTGGGAAGAGCTCACTCCAGCCTGGCAGCTGCAACCTTCAAGAAACAATGAAAGAGGTGAGCAACCAGTGCCCACACCGGCACCCACCTGAGCCACAAGGGGATGGGTCAGGTCTGGGGTTGCCTAAGCTGGCCTGGGTAGGTCCTGGATGGATGCAGTGAAGCCAGCCTAGATGGGTGATAGGTGAGCAAGATGGGCCTGGGTCACCCGGCGGATGGGTTGCACGTGACCCAGGGGTTGGCTTGGGTGTGTGCAAGGCCGGTTAGGCCTTGGCCACTGTAACAAGATCCAGAGCACCCACCGAGCCCCTTCTCCCCCCAACTCCCCCCAAAAAAACGGAAAAGAAAAACTGCGCTGCCAGGGCAAGCCTGCCCGTCCCCCCGAAGTTTTGTCCTGGTGGAGTCCACCGACACTGCACCTCTTTGGGAAGGCAGACCCTTAAGGCTCCGAGGGGTCCAACTTGCCCTCGTGACAACAAAACAAAGAGAATCTGTCTGCAACAGCAGAAACATTCACTCGGAAAGTCAAATTGCTAATGTATCCAATTCTGGACATTTTCTAAGTCTTCTACGCAGTATTGGTTTTGTTAGAGGTTGACTAATGAGCAAGTGCACTCTGAATGATGAATTGTCATATTTACTAATGTTGTGTTGCGATACCATGGTCTGACTGCAAATTGGTAACCATGCGAGCAACAATTTTGCCTGGGCAGGTGTGGGAGGGTGTGGGAGGGTGTGGGAGGGTGTGGGCAGGTGTGGGCGGGTGTGGACAAGGTTCAATTAGTTCCCGGGTACAGGTGGGTCAGGATGAGGTCGTGAGCGCGGGTGGGTCTGGGTAAGGGTGTTTTGGTGCAAAGTTTCTAAAAATAATTGGGGGATTGGGCGAGAGTGGGCGAGACTATAAAAATCAGGGTGGGTCAAGTGTGGATGGAGGTAAAACCGAAAATGCTCAGCTTTGCTGCAAATGCATGCGGCCAGGCCAGCGAACATCAGCAAAGAAAAGGAAGATGCAGCCGAACGGTAGCTGCTCCGCTCATCAGCAGCCATAGCTGCGCTGAGGTGGAAGAAGGTTGGCACTAGGGCTGGGGCGATCAGGGGAGAGGACTGTGGTGGGAAAAAGGTGGATTTACCTGGCAATAGCCAAAGAGCACAGTTGTGGTGGTTAGACTCTGCAGCATTGTTAGGTGACAGGAGAGTGGACAGGGAGAGAAGTAGACTGTATGTAGGAGAGTAGCATAGACTGTCACATCATAGCAGAGCTGTTATTGCGTTTATTCTGACGAGTGAAGTTTGGCTTTCTTTATCAACAGACTTCAGTCTCCGTGTGTTCTCATATGGTGTGCTCTCGGCCGTGTAAATCTGCTTTCGACTTTGCTCATATATGCATGGTCTGCTTAGAGTCTTTAGCTACTCGGAAAATTTGTGCTCTGATTGATTGGTCCTTGCACAAGGATGAAGTGCATAAATTGAGAAATGGAAAACAGTTGGGAGGGCAGAAAAAAGACAAGAAACAGTTCTCTCACTGTCGCTGTCTACCTCTCTCTCACAAACACACACACAGACATCACAGTTCATCATCCTCTCTCCTCTTCCTCACCACCATTGCCATTTGAAAAATATTTCTGTCTACCTAGAAGCATGAGCTGTACAGGGTTGCCTGCCTGCCAAACGCCAACCCCAACCGCAGACCGTTTTCCAGCCGACCAGTAGGGCCTACCGCCATCCACTGATTTTTCTTCAAATCTGAGTTACGGGCTGCACTACGCTTGCTGAGGTCAGCCCAAATACGCTGAGAAACTTTTGTGGTTGCAGGGAGGTAGCGGGGGGTATAGAGGGGTGATAAGGGGTATTGGGGGGGGTAATGAAGGTGTTGGGGGGCGGTTTGGAGGTGTTGAGGGGGTGTATAGGGCTATTGGGGGTCGCTGAGGTAGCCAGACGGGACCCTCCCT